GGGTATTTTTGGCTTGATAAAGAACAAAACAAAACCAGAAAATTAAGGGAAAATTCTCAAGGAGTAGAGGATATGTTCGGCTTGATAGAAAATAAAAGAGAAACGGAAAGTTGAGGATAAGTTTTAAAGAGAAATTTTGTAAACATAGCCTTATTGGGCTATAATCAGATTGGATACCGATTTAATTCCCATCAAAATTGTGTTTAAAATGCGAAAAATTAAAAGGTTTTGAAGAAACTATGTACATCTAACTTACACATGTATAATAAATCTATACTATTATAAAAAGTACAAATGAAGGTATGAAAATTTTCTTAACTAAAATGCCCACATTTGTTATTTAGTCCATCTCTAGTTATGAAGGTTGAAAACATAATTTCAATTAATGCTTTTCACCTCAATTGAAAAGCATATTATAACAATCGTTTTCATGATAAATTGTTGCCATAGATAACTTTTAGCAGTGGTTTTAAGTAAAAAAACCATTGCTATAGATGGTTTCTTAGCAACGATTATATAAAAACCGTTGCTATAAATGTATTGTAGCAACGGTTTCATGGTAAACGGTTGCTAAAAGGTATCATTTAGCAACGGCTTGAATGATGAATTGGTGCTATAGATATCATTTTGCACAGTTTTATAAAAGTACCGTAGTAACATATCAACCAATTTTCTTTTTTGCATTGTTTTAGCCACAGTTTGGTCCATTGCTATAGTTGTTTTAGCAACGGCCGGTTCAGTGTCTGTTGAAAGAGATCAAGATTGTAGCAATGGTTATATCCATTGCTAAATGATATCTCTAGCAACAGTTTTATAAAAGTATAAAACCATTGCTAGAACCTATTGCCACGTTGAAAGAAGCATCGGTTTTGTGTATGTTGCTATAGGTCTCTTGCAACAATTTTGGTCTGTTGTTAGAAGTCGAATTTCTTGTAGTGTCCCTACCTTATAAGTTAAATGTTGATATATTTTATTTGTATTTTGTTTGAACTTTGAAAAAAAATTGGTTATTTGTGATAAAAATTAAAAACGTAAAACCAATACAAATATAATACAATGGTACAATCCTTAATGCAGTTTTGTATAAATTTAAATATATATTAACAAAAAAATCAGATTTGCATAAAAGATCTAATCGATTTAAATATATATTTTGATTTTGCATAAAAACTAAAAAGAAATAAACTTAAATATAAATAGATATTTTAGTTTAAAATATATATAAAAATTGACTAAACTAATAAACCGACCCTTCATGTTTGGATCAGTTTTGCTTCAGTGTCTGTCAGTTTCGGTTTAGTCAATAAGTAAACCGACTAGGTAAGGTTGGTTGAAGAAAATGGTTCAAACCAACCCAACCTGACCCGACCCGCGAACACCCCTAGTCAAGACGATATTAAAGTGGTTATTCAATCTTTGTTAGTGAAATTTTGTTAAGCATCCCCTAGTGCTCAATGAGTTTCATTTCAAGGTTTGCCAATTATGACAGCCCATAGTTTGAATACCTAATGAATCATCTTCGATCGATGGTTAGGATGATTGATCCACCCACAAAGAGATAAGACAAAGTCCCTATTTTGATGTCAAAAAAACAAGAATAGAAAAATTAAGTTATTAATGAAACTGGGTAGCATGTTAGTAGGGACTTGTAAATTTTGAAGATGGTTGCTCTTCCCCTTTGTTGAAGATAAAAACTCTATCTCATTTGCTCTGAAGTCTAACATCTGAAAGTGTAATAATTACATTAAGAGGTATATTGGTATTGGTGAACTTTTCTTTTCCCTGAACTCTAAACGCAGAGAAAGTTGTTCTAAATTCCGAATTCTGAAAATTACCAAACAACCACTTTGACCCCATATATGAGAGTTTTTGTTTGTCTTTTTAAGAGATAAGATATATTGGTATTTGTTTCACTTAAAGTTAAAAGATTCCTCTCAAGAGATAAGAGTTAAGAGGAAACGAACAGGCCCTTATACTCAAAAAGAGAAGGGGGTGGAGCCCTGTTTTGACGTCCAAAAACAAAAGATAAAAAATTAACTATTAGTAATGAGGTTATCGTTAATTAAATAATTAATTAATTGTTGAATCAGGAATGAACCAAATATGGGTCGGTTGACGCTCATATCCAATTAGAACCCGGTCTATTTAACATAAATTTCCTCGTCAGATTAGTTAAATGGATCGGGTTGAACTATGCAAACCCAACCCGCACCCATTGTGAAACACTTTCTTCTTCGTCCATTTCAATCTATAGTGTTCGCTCAAAAGAGCGAACAATAACTCATTCTCCCGTTTGAATATGATTTAATAGAAAGAGGTAGGGGTCTCTAAGGTCCAAATGAACACCATAAAGTCTTTAAAAAGATTTAATAATATTGCATTTAGCAGACCCAAAAACGCAAAAAAGAAAAGAACATACCTAAGATTTAGATGGAAGTTCTAGCAGATCCAATAACTTCTAGCCCAACCAACGGTCGTAGGAGATTCAAAGAAATACGAAGAAGGATTCCTTTCAAAGAAATCCAAAGAAACTTCGGTACCTAAAAGATGTTTAAACGACAGAGAAATTTCTGATCCGTTCCCTCCCCTGCTTCCTCCAAAACAACTGAGAAAAGCTTGAATGCCGTTTGCAAAAGTTTGAGAAAACTGTGGGGAAAATGTGATACGGGGCATTACCGCCTCACTATAGCCACGTCAGCCACTCCCAATATTCCGCTCCGACCACTTGATCCTCCGTACAGGTTGTTAGTATTACGCTGAGTGTCTCATCATTAATGTAACGGTCTTTGACCGCCCATGATTATAAATGATTGAATAATGGAACCGGATGGGGGAACTTGCCTTATCATTAGTATTCTCTTGGGTCTCACTTCTGGCCATCCCCTTCGAGCGGTGATTCTCACCATAGCTCAAGAAAACTCGAAGCTTTCTCCCCGGCAATGGGAAGAGATTCTTAACATCGTGGTATCAAAGCAAGCGAATCCCTGGGCAGCTCAGATACTGGCAATGGAGGATCGGAAGCCTGCAAAAATCCTGTGAAGAAATGAATATGAAGTTTGCTGAAATGTTGGAGCTTCTAAACTACATCACTTCACAAATGGACCAACAGGAGGAGTCCCAGCACTGGTCATCCGCTGGAGGTGGCTTTAGGAAGGGGACGGAGAGCTCGGGGGCAACAAGGAGCAGCTTCATCTCCCTGTAGAAGTTCTGGAAGGTGGAACTTCCGAAGTTCGGAGGCACCGGGCTGGGTAGGTGGCTTCTCCTCATTCAACAGTACTTCTGCCTACAGGAGGTACCTGAGGAAAACTGAGTTGCAGTGGCGAGCCATGGGTTTGAAGGACGGGCACTGAAGTGGTATAGCTAGTACAAGGATCATCAAGCGGAGCCCACTTGGCGTCAATTTATAGCTGCCTTGGATGCTCGATTCAACGGGCCCTTGGGAAGCAACTATGTGGGGCAGATGGCGAAACTCTCTCAAACCTCCACCGTCCATGAGTATATGGAGGATTTCCAGTCGAGTAAAAGGGATGAACAAAGAATCTCTGGTCAAGTGTTTCATTGCGGGTCTCAAAACAGAGCTACGAGTAGGGGTGGAAAAGTTCAAACCAGTGACTTTAGCTAGAGCCTTCTGCCTGGCACTGTTGGAGGAAGAAGAGTGGCAGCTCGAAGACGGACCGTTAGACCGGAGCACTTGCGACCATGTCCTGCAACGGTAAGCGACCCTCAGGCAAGCAGGTCGTCTCCAATGAAGTTTTCGGAAATTCTCCGGCTCACACCAACAGAAATGAAAGAGAGGGGGGAAAAAGGATTATGCTATAATTGCAAGGAACGCTGTCCCTGAACACCAGTTCAAGGTACAGAAGTTGTTGTGGATCAACTGGAAAGCGGAGGAGGAGGAAGGTGACGACCCTAGTCCAACCCTGGAGGAAGAAGAACTAGAGCCTACACCGACCATCTCCCTACATGCCATCTTCATGGCTGAAACCCCACATACTATGCGCTTAAACGGGACGGTAGGGGCACTTGCGGTGACCATTCTCGTGGACTCAAGATCTTCACACAACTTCATGGACCCGAGGGTGGCGATGAAGTCGAGGTTGGCGCTGACTTCCAATGCCAGGTTCCAAGTAACGGTAGCAAACGGGGATCAGGTATCCAGACAGGGCCGCTACGATGGAGTCTGCATCCGGACACAAGGGGTCGAGATCACTGTAGATTTCTTCTTGTTATCATTGTCTGGATTGGATAACATTCACAGAGTCCAATGGCTTCGGACCTTAGACCCAGTCACATGGGACTTCAACAGCCTCTGCCTAGAATACCAAGACCAAGCTGGCATTCACCTTCTGCATGGCCACCGACCCCCTAAGCTGAGAGCAGTAGTTGGGGATCAAATGGAGAGACAAGTACGCAATTCTGGGAGTTGTTTACTGTTACAGATACTAGACAACCACAGCATGACGGAGCCCACCATTGATCCCAGGGTCCAATCGGTACTAAAAGAATTTGAGGAGGTCTTTGAAGAGCCGGTGGGTCTACCTCCTCCACGGGCCTTGGACCATGCCATTCCGCTGCATCAGGGGGTAGCACTGGTGTGTGTGCGTCCTTATCGATATCACCATTATCACAAAGGGGAGATAGAGAAACTGGTCCAAGAGATGCTCAACCATGGGATCATCCGGCCCAGCACAAGCTCGTTCTCCTCATCGGTGCTACTAGTGAAGAAGAAAGATGGGGGCTGGAGATTCTGCATAGACTACAGGCAGCTGAATGCAGTAATAGTGAAGGACAGATATCCAATGCCTAACTTCGATGAACTTTTCGACAAGCTGCATGGATCCTAGATTTTCTCCAAATTGGACCTTCGAGCCGGTTACCATCAGATCCGAGTACATGCCTCAGATGTTCCTAAGACACCATTTCGAACGCATGACAGTCATTATGATGTTTTGGTGATGCCCTTTGGGTTGTCCAATGCACCGTCCACCTTCCAAGCACTCATGCACAAGGTCTTTCGGGGGTTTTTGAGGAAATTCGTCCTGGTTTTCCTAGATGACATTTTGGTCTACAGTCGAGCAACAGAAGAACATATCAAGCATCTCTTATGTGTTCTATCAACCCTCAAGGCCCACAAATTGCACGCCAAGAGAAACAAGTGTTGCTTCGGGGTGGACAAGGTAAGCTACCGCGGACATGTAATTTCATTCGACGGGGTGGAAGTGAGTCCTAGTAAAATCGAATGTATGGTGAAATGGCTCAGACCCAACTCCCCTACAAAACTCAGAGGATTCCAGGGACTCACAGGGTACTTCCGGAAGTTCGTCCAGGATTATGGAAAACTAGCTCGACCATTGACCAGACTACTCAAGAAGGGTGCTTGGGGCTGGAACCCGGAAGTTGAGGATGCTTTCCAAAGGTTGAAAGAGGTCTTGACATCCACTCTGGTACTGGCGTTACTAGATTTCAGTTATCCCTTCGAGCTGGAGTGTGATGCGTTAGGTGCTGGCATTGGCACCATTCTATCACAACTAGGGAGATCGATAGCCTTCTTCAGCCAGGCACTAAACCCCGCCAACACAGCCAAATCTACATACGACAAGGAACTCTTAGCAGTTGTAACGGCTATCCAACGGTGGCGGCAGTATCTCCTGGGGCAGCAATTCGTAGTTAAGAGCGACCATCAGAGCTTGGGATACCTGCTCAAGTCGAGGATCACCACTCTTTACCAGCAACGACTTCTCAGCAAGATCATGGGGTAAGACTTCACATTGCAATATAAGAAGAGTCAGGAGAATGCTGCAACGGATGTGCTTTCCAGCTGCGTTGAAGGTAAAGTGCAGGCCATCTTGAGCCCGTTGCCGTAGTGGGTGGAAGAGTTACGCCAGGAACAGGAGCGGGACGAATGGATGAAAGGGCTGATAGAGAAGATTAAACAGGGACAGGCCCCTAGCACAAAGTACATTTGGAAGAACGGACTAGTATGGCGAAGGGGACGTGTGGTTCTTGGGCCGACCTCTGCTTACCGCCGGAAGCTGTTTACCGAAGCTCACTCCAGTCTCTTGGGAGGGCATGCTGGTTACCACAAGACAATGCAGCAACTAGGAAGGATTTGTGTCTGGAAAAGTGGAAAGGGTACCGAAGGCAGGTGCATCAGTGGATCCGCGAGTGCAACACTTGCCAACGGAACAAGAACGAAAATATTCCCACTCTTGGACTACTACAGCCCTTGCCAATACCAGAGTACATTTGGAGAGACTTGTCAATGATTTCATTGACGGACTGCCGCCTTCTAATAAGAAGTCAACTATCATGGTGATGGTCAACCGATTGACCAAGTATAGACATTTTGTGGCCCTATCACACCCCTACACGGGTCAGGTGGTCGCCCATACGTTCATGGAGCACATCCTCAAGCTTCATGGGATGCCCAGCAGTATCGTGAGTGATCGGGATCCAGTCTTCACCGGAAACTTTTGGAAGGAACTGTTCCGTCTCCAAGGTACGCAACTACAGATGAGTTTGGCCTACCATCCCCAGTTTGACGGGCAAACTGAGGTGGTAAACCGAACCTTGGAGGCATATCTACACTGCTTCATTGGACAGAGCCCGCAAACTTGGACCAAATGGCTAGCCTTGGTAGAGTGGTGGTATAACACCTCTTACCACTCCGCCATCCGCACCACCCCATTTCAGGCTGTCTACGGATGCCCTCCTCACCTACATTCCCGGTACAACCAAGGTTCAAGCAGTAGAAGAAGAGTTGAAGGATCGGGAGACGGCGCTGATGAAGTTAAAAGAAAACTTAGCTCAGGCACAAGAAAGGATGAAGAAGCAAGCAGATCGACAGAGGACCGAGCGATAGTTCGAATTAGAAGATGAAGTCTTCTTGAGGCTACACCCACATTGACAAGCTTCCGTCGCTGCCTGCCGCTCGCAAAAGCTATTGGCCAATTATTATGGCCCTTACACCATCACTGAGCGTATCGGGTCGGTAGCCTATAGGCTGAACCTTCCCGCAAAAAGTCGGATACACCCGGTGGTTCACGTGTCATGGCTGAAATGCTCGGTCGGGGATCCGGCCTGTATTTGACCCGAACTACCACCACTTACCCCTGTAGGAGACCTTCTTCCTTACCTGAAGGCAATGCTCGATAGGCGTAAGATAAAACAGGGGAACCGGGCAATCACCGAAGTCCTCGTACAGTGGGAAGGGACAAGTCTGGCCGATGCCACGTGGGAAATTCTCAACCAGATGCTACGTCACTACCCGACATCACGCCTTGAGGACAAGGCATTTCCCGAGGAGGAGGTGATGATACGGGGCGCTACCGCCTCACCATAGCCGCCGCGTCAGCCACTTCAAATATTCCGCTCCAACCACCTAATCCTCCGTACAGGTTGTTAGTATTGCGCTGAGTGTCTCATCATTAATGTAACGGTCTCCGACCGCCCATGATTATAAATGATTGAATAATGGAAGTGGATGGGGGAACTTGCCTTATCATTAGTATTCTCTTGGGTCTCACTTCTGACCATCACCTTCGAGCAGTGATTCTCACCATAGCTCGGGGAAACTCGAAGCTCTCTCCCCGGCAACGGGAAGAGGTTCTTAACAAAATGACTGTAAAAAAAAATCGTTTTTAGAGAAGATCGAAGAATAGTGAATGAATTAACTTGAGGAAAGGTAGATAACGGGAAGAGGTCCTGTTTTCTACCCTATCACAATTCCTTTAAAGTGGGTGGGCCAACCATAATGAGATGCACAAATAAGAGATATAGAAGGGAGTGATAAGGTGATTTCGTGTGAAAGCAAAGAAGACAAAAATGAGAGTGAGATGTGATACCTTCTACTTTAATATATACATAAATACAAACCAAATTTCTTTATAAGTTAATTAAATTCGTTTCATGAAAATTCGATTCAATTCTATCTAAATTGGAAACGAACACAAACCCAATAGATAAGCTCTGTTATTAATCTTATCATAAGTTGCATCCAAGCCTCCGCGTTTTTCACAACACTACTCTTTGTTTTTTGGGGGATCAAATCTGTCACTTTCTTGTTTGGTTTGGTGAAAAAGTAAATATGTGCTTTGTCTTTTATCAATTATTCATATTTATGACCCATCCGCCCCAACCATTGTGGTTGGGTTAGCGGTTTGGTGCATTGCGAGAGTCTGGTTCGAGTTTTCCAAGACAATTGAATAATTGACTTGGGCAATGAACCTTGTAATTTTATTGTTGGGCCACAGACTACGGGGCAAAACCGCATAAGTACTTAGACCTGTGCTGTGGCCCAGTGACCCAGTGAGCCAGTCATGTATTTTCCCGGTTTGATAGTGGGCTGGCCGGATTTTACATGAACGGCTCTGCACAAATCTATTTTTGAGCACCGTATACATCATCAAATCAAGGATGAATGACCCGGTTCCATGTCACGACTGAGTGATTGAAGCAAAATATACCTCGTCAAATCATCAATTCCAATTCCAGGAGGGTTCAATTAATTAATAGTGAAAATAAAAATATAAAAAAAAATAAAAATGCATGAATTTTATAAAAAAATTTGGATACATTATTTAGAATTATTTGTACATATACATATATTAGTATATATAACTAATTTTTAATTGGACTTAAATTTTAATTGAATTGAAATTATTTAAAAAAAAAAAAGACTCAATCTTTGAGATGTACTATCTAACCTAAAATATAAGCTATTAAGCTTGTAAATTAATCTTGTATGGATCACATCCACTCAATCGCTCCTATTGATATAGTTAATGAAAGATCACTAATTGTGAATTATTTCTCCTAATATTATTGGCATTTCCATTCTAAATTTCTAACTACAATGCTACCAGCAAATGCTAATGATTACACCTATTCAGGGCCGGGCTTCGAAGTTCGAACTCATAGGCTTCGGGTCGGTCCCATTCAAACTTTGGCAAAGGTTACGCCCCGCCCCGCCCATGAATTGGTTTACTAACGACATTCCATAAACCACGATATTATAGTCTTTCTACAAAAGTTCAAAGCAAAAGAACTAAGACATGCCCGACATATCCTTTCCATTCAGATTTACAAACAAAAAAACCTAAAAAAGTTTGAAAACATAAGAGGAATTGAAGGATACTATTTGGTCCACAGGGAGCTACACTTGAAAAGTAAGCCTATCTTGTTCCAATGTCTTGTACCCACTTGAAGTTTTTTTTACAACGTAACTAAATTTGTATTGGTGCATATGTATGGCGGTGCAAAATCTGATTTCCTTTCTTTTTCATAGTGTTACTTTGCTCTTATTTGGTTTGGGAAGAATACGTGGAAAGTAAAACAGTGTGATACTCACTTTATAGTTTATATGATAGAGATGAAAATTGCAAGATGGTTGTTTTTTTATTTTCTTCTAGAAGCAATGCTTAAAAAGGAAGACCGGATTGATCAGTTGGACTGATTAAACCATGCATGAACCGTAATCCAGACCACCGTGAGGAATACCTGATGGTTTGTTGCCGGTCGCTAGTGTTAACAATCACTGGTGATGCACTTCATCACTGCCGATAGGAGAGAGAGAGAGAGTGAGTGAACAGTGGTTGGTGGTGTTTGATTGCACTTTTCGGACGTCTGAATCTGAAAATGTTGCTTTTTAGATGCCGTATTTATTTGGTGTTGCATCTGCAATAGGGCATGAAAACTTTTTTTAGATTTAAAATTTTTAGGATCAAGCCTGTCACTTAATGCATTCAGACGCATTTCAGGCGTGGCCTAAAGTCAAAACCTCCCCACTCGACCTCTCTCTCTTGTCTTCATACCAAGGCTCAAAATATCGATATGCCCAATATGCCGATAGGGGCGTATCGAGCGATACCGATACTATTTTTTTTACTTTTTTTATTTTTTATCAAAACCGGTTCATACTTTGAACCTTGCTTCATACAACTCTCTCTCTCTCTCTCCGCCCCATCTTCCATCTAGTTGTAGTGGATCTCTCTCTCTCTCTCACGGAGATCCTATCTGTAGCTGTAGCGACGAACAACTGCGTAAAGCTTGATCGAGAGCCCCAACCTCAGCCACCTCAGCAACAGCCGCAGCCCCAATGCAGGCCCCGTGGCTTTGTTGCGACGGCAACCGCTGCGGCGGCCTTGGGCATTGCCAACAGTGGCAAAGGGAAGAAGGAGAGGGAGAAGGAGAAAGAGCACACCAAATTGAGGGAACGCTACCCCCGTGCCATCACCAATTGCATGGTCGCTGGTCTCCAACAATACAACAATTTTCTCGTCCTTGCTCATGCTGACATGAGCGACACCCTCGCTACGCTTGCCCGTGAAGCTAGTTGGACTGTAGAGGCCAACGACACCACCTACCACACTTCACTTTCCTCACAAGCAGTTGTTTCTTTTTTTCTTTATCTCGTTTAAATTATGGTCGTTTAATTTATCGCTCCCCTGCCACCACCATCACCGCTACAGCTTGTAACAGTGGCTAGTTGTTGCCGCTACAACTTACTAATTATTAATTATTAATTTTTTATTTTCTTATTTGTATTGTTTCAATATTATTTTGAGGTTGAAAATTATTTTTATGAGATAATGCAAATTGAACTCAGCATTTCGAAATAGTATGTTTTAGGGGTAAAATAGTAAAATCAGTAAATTTCAGATGGTAAAGGGTTGATCCAACACAAACAAACTTATGGATTCAGATCCTCTAAAAAGTATAAAAGCATCTATTTCTCTTTTCAGATTTTAGACACTTTTAA